GGCTGGGCGCCCTCACCGCCTTCGCCTCTGGCAGATTGAGAAAGCGCCGGTGAGAGCCTGGACTGGGGAAGCGCGAGGCAGTGTCAGAGGAGAGGCCCAGGTTTGGGGTGGAAGGGGCAAGTCTAAAAATAACTTCGTTTTAAGAATAGGGTCTTTATTCCGTTTTGCCCTACTGCCCTACAGCGAGCCTCTTGCCTGGTTATTTGAGAATGTAACTCATCCCTTGTGCAGATAAGTTGGCTGCTTATCCGGCGCGGTGGGGACAGGGGGCACACGGCGCTTGGCTTGAAATGAAAACAAGACTTCAAAATGTTCTGACTGGGTATGCAAGGTGTTTCATTTTCCCTTATAAAGTGAGGGGTTTGGATGTCATCACTAAGGTCCTGTTCCTTTGCGTGTGAATGGCTTCTGGGAAACTTGCTGCCTTGCAAGCCTTGAGTCCAACTTTCTTTTCTTGTTTTTAATGTTTATTTATTTTTGAGAGGCAGAGCGTGAGCAGGGGAGGAGCAGAGAGAGGGGGAAACAAAGAAGGCGAACCAGGCTCCAGGCTCTGAGCTGTCAGCACAGAGCCCGACGCGGGGCTCAAACTCACCAAACACGGGATCGTGACCTGAGCTGAAGTCTGACGCTTAACCCACTGAGCCACTCAGGTGCCCTTTGAGTCAGACTTTGGACTGAAAGAGATCCAAGGATTGTGCAGGTCTGGATGCACCAGAATAGCAGCGGTGCTGATGGACAACCGATACTGGGCCCTGGAGCAGCAGCCTCACATGCAAGGCCTAGGTCATCCCCAGGGACGGGAAGGCTCCCAAGGTGAGTCATGAAAGGAAGCCCCTATTCTGTCCCCGTTTTACTTGCCCTCCCCTCCACCCCCACCCTGCCAGGTTCTCCCCAGGCTGTACAACTCAGAATAAAGTTCCCTTTGTTACTCAGGTGGCTTGGGCTCAGGTAACAGGCAGATGTCCTATCTCATTGGGCTCTTCTACAGCAACTCAAGCGTGGTATCAGGAAGCCAACTTGACCGTGGGCGACCTCTGAGAGCCTGGAACCCACTAGCAAAAAAGGCAATATATGAATTGCTTGTGACTGCTTCAGCAAGCCGCCGCTAATTGGATGGCTTAAAATAAAACGAATTTGCCAGAAACCCCAAATCAGGGTATTGCAGGGCTGTGCTCCTTCCTCCCAAGGCTCTAGGGGAGGATCCTTCCTTGCGTCTCCAAGCTCCTGGCAGCCCCTGGCGTTCCTTAGCTTGTGGCCACATCCCTCCAGCCTCAGCCTCCGTCTTCTGATGGCCTTACCCTGTGTCTGTGTCTCACATCTTCCTCTTTTTCCTCTTTTGACACCTGTCATTGGATGTAGGCCCCATCCTGAATACAGAATGATCTCATCTTGAAGTTTTTAATTTATTTTAATTTAATTACAGCTGCAAAGGCCTTTTCTTTTCTCTCCTTTCCTTTTGAATTTTTCTTTTTTTCTTTTCTCTTGTTTATTTAGAGAGAGAGAGAGAGAGAGAGAATCCCAAGCAGGCTCTGTGCAGTCAGCACAGACCATGACACAGGGCTCAATCTCAGGACTGTGAGATCAGATCATGACCAGAACCAAAATCAAGAGTTGGACACTTAACTGACTAAGCCCCCCAGTCCCTTTTTCCAGTTAAGGCCAAATTCAGAGGTTCCAGGGCTTAAGACCTGGACGTGGTGTGGGGGCCACCATGCATTCCATACCAGTAGTGGCCTGTCGCTGGGGGCTCTGGCCACCTTCAGAGCCGTCTTCCCAGCTTCCCTTATCACTCTATTTAAAACCCTATTTCTTGCTTGAACCTTGCTGTCCCTTGGAGTCCTTGGGCAGGAGCCAGAGTCACTGGTACCTTCATGATGACTCCCCTGCCCTTGTCTTGCGTTCTGGCCGTGCTCCCATTCCTGCTGGTTTGCTCTCTTCAGCCTCTTCACTTCCTGGAGCACTCTTCTCGTCTCCACTGAGAATCAGACCAAATGGGAGGGACGAGACTGAATGTCCCCTCTTTGTAAGAACACAGCAGTGAGGTCAGGGGCAACCCCCTCACCTCTAAACTCCAGACGGATGAAGACTGCTATTTGAAGGCTGACGGTTACGACAGGAATAAAGTTCATTGCTACCCAATCCATGGCGTCTGACCAGGTTTACGAGGGAAACCGCCACGATGCTGTTAACAAAATACTCTAGTCCCAAGTCGGTACCTACAGTGGTCCCCAAGGTGTGTGGGGTGCTCGCTGCCTGGGCAAATTCTTGCAGTGACCCTGGGGGCGGGCAAGGCAGGCGGCTCCCTTCGTTTTACAGCCGGGAGGCCCCCCGGAGATCACTGCAGTTGTGACTTGCCCTTCGAGGTCTGCCCGGGCTCCGTTAAGCTGCCCACAGCAGGTGGTGAACAACTGGTGCCTTCTGTGGCGGGGACAGACACGGTGAAGGTGCCGCCCAGGGTGGACGGTGGCTCCCGGTGTAACCAGATCCAGGTGCGGTTCTCTGCGGAGACTTCCCTGCGCAGGAGCGGGGAGAGGGAGGGGAGGCAGGGGAGGACCTCGGCAGGGTGTGGGTGGGGTGGTGCATGCGGGTGGCTGTGCTGCCACCGGGAGGCCTGGCTCAGCCCCCCCCCCCCC